AGGATCAGAACACAACTGAAAATAACTTACGCTTTTTAAAAAATATCTCTGCTTCGGGTGGTTGTACAAAATGGTTTCCTGATGCGTGGGATCTGGGTGGCCCTGCGTGTGGCTCTTGCTCTCTCCTGGCTGGCGAGGCCCAGTCCCACGTCAGTCCACGTGCTCGCTCACCACTTGGGAAGCCACCCGCCCTGGCTGGGCGGGAGGGGAGGACCTAAGCAGAGATCGGCTGGCACCTGGGTTTGTGGGAGGAGCTCCTCCTTCCGGCTGGTCTCAGACCCCATCATCTGGGCCAACCTGGAGTTCAGGAAGCACCACAGGAATCCCAGGCCCCTGAGGTTGTGGACAAGGCTGGGCTGTGCCCCTTTAAGGAACTTTGGTTCGAAGAGTCAAGGTGCCCAGTGGGACGCGTGGGCGGGCAGGGCCCTCGTGGGTCATGACGCTAATGCCTAACCTAGCAAATTCTCTGTCTAGGAGTTAACTCATTAAAGTGACACCGCGGTGGTGACGGGGCATGAACGTGTCAGCCGGTGATCTGACGCCTTCACCTACATCGAGTGGGAGCTGCGGCCTCTTTGCAGATACCACTGAGCTCCTTCAGTGAGAGCCAGGGCTCTCCCGACCACGATCCTCAAACCCACACGAGAGAGGAAGAATCCCACCAGCAGAACCCTCCAGAAAGCCCTGGGAAGGGGACGCTGTAGGGAGGGAACATAAGAGGGACAACACTGTATCATTGGTCCACCATAACTGGCCTAGCAAACATTAGCCACAGTGAAGGGGAGCTGGGGACGGCCTCCTTCTCAGTCCTCCCACCGGCCCAGCTGGCTATGGGGTCTGGAGGAGCCCTGCAGGGCTGGGAAAGGACCCTCCCATCTGCTGTCTCCAGGGGACAGCCTGAGCCTGATTCAGTCTCTAGGTTTTGTCTAAACTTCAACCTTTCTTGGAGCCCACCTTCAGACACATGCCACAGACAGATACATCACTACCGTCCCTACGGCAGGGCAGAGCTCTGATCTTGGAACCTGACTCAGCCTACGCGGTCAGGGGGCACTGGCCGTGCCCTGTGCACCTCCTCTTCCAGCACCTCCATCATAGTGGTGAGATCTGGGTAGTGTCCCCCCTCCTGGCCATCTCACAGGGCCTCCGTCTCTGTCCACACCAAGCTGCACTGCAAACTCTCCTGGAGGCTCCAGAGAGGAGGGGCAGTATCTCTGACATCGCTCCAGGTGCCCACTCTTCATGGGGTCCAGCCCGAGTCTGGCTTGAGCAGGTGGCCTTGCTCAGGAACAGGGGCCTCCTAAAGACAGAGGTCTGGCTTCACAGTGGAAAACGCACCTTGCATGGTTTTTCTTTTCCCCTAGTGTTTCTTGAAAGTGCAGAAGATAAAGGGGCAAACTGAAAGAGAAGACTTGGCAGCCTTCACATCTGGCTTCCAAAATAAATCCTGTCCTAGAATCCTGGAGACCCACATTGCACCCAAGTCACTGGACCAGCCTTCATTCAGCACTAAGAAACCTTGTACTCTTCTCCCGGTGAGGAACCAGTCCCCAAATGCCAAGTGTAACGCTGTCAGGCTTCCTCATCCATGATGCAGCAGGTGGCTGCCCACGCCGCGAACACCCGGAGATGACATTGAGGCAGTTTTGCTCAAGCAGTGCCTGTTTTGTTTCCTGGAATATAAATGCCACTGGAGGGAGGCCTGGCTGGTTGAGGTTGACCTTGGCATTGAGAAAAGCAGACCCAGGCTGGGCAGGCAGGTCCACTTGTGGCTGGGATGGTGCTGTTACTCTTAGCGTACCTGCGACCTCTCCGGCTACTCCAGATCTTGGGATCAAGCATGATGCTGTGGCCCTGGGCTGGCCTTTGCTGAACCAAAGGGGACGAACACCTGCTGAGTGGAGGTGCATGTTCTCCACTTTGCCTCTTAAGTCCATGCATGTCAACAAGGGCCGCTTCTGTCCTGGGACTCAGGGCTCAAGCAAGGCACATTGTACCCAAGTCAGCAGGCAACGCCCCGACAGCTGAGACATGCCAGAAATGGCCCAGCTTCTTGGTCTCCCAGTCCCTAAAAGCCCGTGATGGAATGACCAGCAGTGGGAGGCAGATAATAAAGTCCTCTCCAAAGTCAAGGCCAGGTTTGACGCCAGGAGATGAACTGGAAGAGCCTGTCACGATCCTTTGGCTGAGCTAGAATTTGGTGCGGCGAATATTGCTGGAAGTAATGGAGCCAGTGGCTGGACCTATGAGATCTTTGGGTTTTATCACGCTGTTTGCTGCAGCAGGATTTGCTGTCTGAGAACGCAGACTGAGAGGGCACCTTGATACAGCCTTTCCTGTTGGTGAGACCAATTCCTGTGGAACCAGAGATTCCAAGAGAAAAATGACTGTTGTCACTTGTGATGTATGTGACTGAACCTTCAAACCTGCAGAAGCAAGCCAAGCCCCAACATTGAGCTGAGGTGAAAAGGAAGGGATGGGAGGGAACGGACAAGATACCTAGCGCTTATTATACTTACTCTTCTTTCTGGAGGACAGATATCCCATGCTCCAAAGAGGAGAACGCTATGTGCTCTAAACGTGCATTTGCCTTGGTCTCTGAGGGCTCTGCAGGAAAGTGAAATGCCCATTCTCTTAACACCCCAATAACGGGGCCCCATTACCAAAGTTGTACTCCAAGGAGTGCGAAGATGGGCACCGCTACCCTTACTCCCACACAAGGTGGGCTGTTGCTGTCTTCCTTAAGTGGTTCTTCAAGTGGTTGGTCAAGCTGGGTGGGCGGGGCCTCTTGCTGTAGGCCTCTGTCAATCATCAGCGACACTGAGGCCACTTGCTGGAATGCCCCCAAAGGTCTCATTGAACAGCCTACTGATGTTTCCATTCTCCCTAGGAAGCGGCAGTAGGTTCCTGCTCCAGTGTGGATGGCAGCTCTTCTGATGGTGGAACTCCAGCTGGCAACGTCACAGAACTTCTCCAGGAGAGGAAGGGGCATGGTGGTTCCTGAGACCACGGCTTGCTGGAGTGAATGTGGAACGGCCCACATTGACCCACTGCAATCTGTCCGACAGTCTGGAAGGGGGAGCTGGGTTAGTTCTCAGGAGGCAAAAGCGTGCAGGCTTGGCCCCCAAGGACAGTGTTCTAGGTCCATGATCCTGAGCCTTCTGGAGTTTTCGAACCAACGCTACGCCCCCGTCTCTGCCGGCGAGGGCTGCAGCACAGTGCTTTTTGTAGTCGAGGTATCTCACAGTTGAGTGCTTGGTTACTGGAAAGGGCGCAGTGGACTCTGCCAGCCCCCAGGATGGTAGAAGGTGCCTTTATAGATGGGGCCCCATGACGGTGGTGATCCTCAGCCCGAAGCCCTTAACATGACCATCCCGACCCCTCTGCTGCAGTCACCTGAGAGATGTGGGACCACCAGCACTTTATTCACGGAGAGGTGGGTAGGTCAATGTCGATCCTGACGGAACCGGTTCTTGACAAGGGACTGGGGTGGCACCATTTGGGCTGTGCGTGGAGAATCTAACCACATGGGGCTGAGGGACCAGGGGAGAAAGGCCCAAGACAGCGTCACAGCATCAAGCTGAACGTGGTCGTATGCCGTTTCCTCCCTCCCCCAGCACCCCAACTGCCTGGCCCACAGGGCCCAGTGCTCAGCTGCTGCCCTGGAAGGAAGGAGGTCTGAGGTGTGGTGTGGAGACCCTTGAGGACTGTGGGACCACAAGGTCCCGGGGACCTGGGCAGGGGGAAGAGGCTGAGGTGTGGCAGACACGGATATGAATCAGCTCAG